CCGATCCTCTTTCTCGAGTCTAAGGCTAAGCGTGGAATGTCGCGGGTAGGGGAAGGGTTAGCGTACGGATAAAAGACCCTTCTCGACGGGCTACGCGCTCGAGGGTTCTCGTCGCAGGGTCAAGGAACGCGAGTGATAGCGTACTCCATGGTTTCGCGGTGTTGTTTATGCAAATCGATCGTACCGTTAGCGTAATCTCAGGTGCATCGACTCGAGACATCGACACAGTCTGCGCGGTTTTTCCAGTGGTGCGAGGCTGGAGAACGAGCACTGCCCTCGACTACGTCCGTTTTTCGAGGGCGTCTTCGTCGTTGCAAAGTTGAAAGGTGATCGTGCCTCGTTCGCCTTCGTTTTCCTTCGTCTTCCTTCGTTTTCTCCCGTTTTCTTTCGTTTTCTTTCCCTTTTTCCGCGCCGAATGCTCCGCAGCGAAGGCGTAGCGGAAAGTAAAAGTACCCGTGGCGGAAATTGAAGCTCGCGCGAGCAATCTCGCGAAAAAATGAACGCGCGTATCGCGATACAAGCGTGGTTAACGAGCAAAAGTATGCATTTTTCTTCTCCCTCTTTCTCTCTCATCGAGCGTCGAAACCGGGGATGACGCCGCGATCCGCGTCGACCTGTGAGTTTTTCGAACACCATACGCCTTTTTACGTCTACGTTTTTGCGCGATGTAAAACTGGGATGTTGTTACGTAGCGAGCGAAAACTCGCAGTCCTTGAAGCACACCGCGTCTTTTCACGAGATAAATCTCGCAACCTTTGACGTAACGATACGTTTTTCCTTTTTTATCGGCTCGAAGCTCGTGCTGCTCGGTATCAGGCCTTTTCACGGTCTACAGAGGCGACAAGGGTTACGTAAACCCCGGTATACCTGTGCCGCGTTAATTTCTTTGCGTTTCCTCCGTGACATTGAGACAGATTTTTCCAAAGGAAACTGCAATTAGAACGGCGACGCTCTTTAGAACGAGAACCGTGAAATCATGCGAGAGGAATGCACCGGACTGCAGAAATTACTACTGCATCCGTGACGCGTCGCAACCACCGCAGTGCATCATGCTTTGACGCATCATCGGGTATTTAAAGATCCGCCGTTCGGATATCTCTTCTTCCTCTACTCGCGATAAATCGTTTCTCGAAATTCTCCCAACAGTCGTTGTCGTCGCTTCGTCTATCCATCTTTCGCCTTTTTCCCTCTTTTTTTAAATAAATTCCAGGCCACTCTAGACAGTCGTGGAACTCTCGTTAGAATTCCCAGTGGGAAATTTTTCGTTCCCGCCTTGATTATTCCGGATCGAAGGCGCGTACCAGGGAAACGGAATATATATCCCTTGAAAGGATCGAACGTCTTTCTGGTACCGCGAGTCGCTCTCCTTGCTGTAAATTTTTTCGCCATTTGTTCGCCAGCCTCGATCGTGTCGGCGAGAACGAATTTCCGTGGCGCGTTCGCGGAATCTAATTCCGAGGGTTGCGTAGCCGGGTAACCAAGGTGGACGCTGACATATGAAGAATCGCCGTTAGAGACGCATGTCTTATGGAAATAATTGAGCCGTCAGACGCACGGTACACGGGATGTCGAACCCCGTGTTATTCGAGGATGGACGCCGAGCAGAATTAGAGTAGCAGTGGCTAGTTACGAGCTCGAAATTCGTAATCAAGCTCTCGAAGCTTTTGTGTCGTTGTCTTGCCCTCGTCCTCGTCCTTCTTGAAACCCAGATGGCGCTTCTGCTCGAATTTTTCCACGCGGATCTCATTGTTCACGTACCGTGCCTATTGTCTTGTACATCGCTGTCCGGGACAGCGATCAGGTTATGGATTCGACCGAGAATTCTGCGTATTAAATGTACAATCGTACAACGTGTTACGACTTCGTCGAGATCTCGAAGGATATTCGAGTTGGAGATATATAGTGTGTTCGGTATGTTTTCATCTTCGAGGTTTAATCTCCCGGCTCTTTGCACTTGTAATTCTTCCTCGACTTTCTTTTCGACGAGTCTTTTATTCTAGCTGCTCGAAATAAACGGTGACAGGTTCATTGGAAGCAGTTCAAAGGAATTTTCTTCACAGTTGGCTCGGTGACGCGACAGTTATCCGTGGGGATAGGTGTTTCGAGAATTCTACCATTTTCTTCGATTTTCTTCGATTTTCTTTTCAATTACGCTCGTTTCACCGGAGCGTGCCGAGTACGTGCAATAGGCTATCGCGATCGGAGTTATAAGGAAATTGGAATTTTCAAAAATTCGATTACACTCGGTTTCGGTAACCTGGGTGCGTGTAGAACCGCGTCAACGCGAGATGAAGGAAATTTTACGTTAAAATCGAAACCGTGTTAACACTCATGGCCACGCTCGTTAAGGGGTTAATTCATTCTGCACGTGTGAGCTTTATCTGGCCATATGCCTGCCGAGAATTTTTCATTTACACAAGAATTCTGCTCCAGCCAATATACTCGGGTGAACGTCGAATCCGTCGTACCTACATCATCGATCGTTCCTTTTTTCCATGTTTCGTCATCGGCCACAGAGATATACCTGTTTGCTTACACCGTCCTTGTGCTCATACGATTAGAGTCGCGATAATGCCGTTTGCGTTAGCTTCGCACGTGACATTTCAGTCTCGATAACCGTAATCAGAGTTCCGACCGCGGCCGCTATCTTCTATCTATTTATCCTTCCTGTGCTCGGACATGTGCACCGAAATGCACGCTTTCAGCTCTCACGACTAAGCCTAAGTCCATTGGAAACGCTCGAAAAATCGCATCGATCCTCAATGAAAACTTGGAGCACTAGGAATCGCGAATTTGCCAATAGCTTTTCCCAACTTTTGCTTTATTATTTCCACGATATAAAGAGTCTCGTCTCGTTT